GCAAATATGTAAGTGTACATATATTAATAAGGGAGCCAGTGTCCTGTGTTCAGCAGTAGCAGTCATTTTCCTCCTTCTTGGTAGCTGGAGCAGTGTTTTGACTTTCAGCCTGGGAACAGAGCTGATAACAAGGATGTTTTCAAGACCAGGTTGGACAAGGCCTTGGGTGATATGATTTAGCATAAGGTGTCTCTGCCCACGGCAGGGGGGTTGGAACTAGATGATCTTAAGGTCCTTTCCAACCCTAAAGATTCTATGATTCTATGTTTTGGTTTAGCCAAGGACTTTGTGAGCCTCATGCTCTGCCAGGGAGGAGGGGAAGCCAGGAGGAAGCAGAGACAGGACACCTGATCCAAACTGACCAAAGAAGTATTCCATACCACAGCATGTCATGCCCAGGATGTAACTGAGTGTTACCCAGAAGGGCTGGGAGTCTGCAGGGTTGGAGGAGGTATCAGTCGGTGCTTGGTCGGGCTGGGGGGGCGAGTTATTGGTCGGCTGGTGATGAGGTGTTGTATTCTCTTCCCTTGTTATTTCCTTTATCATTATTATTATTATTGGTGGTAGCAGTAGTGATCTGTGTTATACCTTAGTTACTAAACTGTTCTTATCTCAACCCGTGGGAGTTGCATTCTTTTCGATTCTCCTCTCCGTCCCTCTGGGAGTAGGGGGAGGGAAAGAAGGGGGAGAGTGAGTGAACGAGTTGCCTGACTGGGTTTAAACCACGACAGCTAGCATGTGGCAGATTTAAAGACAACACAGAATATGGTTACTCACACCAAACAGAATCATGCCTGTGGAATTCCATGCCACAAGACACAGATTTCTGGTATCCATAGCGTGGGTTTAATAAGAGACTGGACAGAGGGTTTCCAGTTAGAAAATGCTTGAACTTATGAAATTCCTGAATGAGAAATAGCTCAAATTTGGAAGAGGAGTTGGGGAAAATATTACATGTGCCTGCCCTATTCTTGTATTCTTTCACTGCAATAGAGACATTACAGATACATCCATCCACAAAATGCATGTTCCATTAAAAGTCTCAGAACACTTTACTGCAAGGGGCCAGCCACAGCTTATGTGCCACAGGAAACCTGTCGTAAGGTCTACAGTACCTAAGCAATCCAAGAGCTGACACTGCAAAATAATTTTAGCTGTTCTGTCAAATTCTACAGAGAAAGGCAAACATTAGAACAGTCCTTGCAATTGGCAATGGGCATTTTTTCGTTATCCCAAGCCTACCAGTTTAAAAATGGAAGTCCTAAAGACAAGCAAAACACACTTTATCCTGGTACTAAGAAAAACATCCCCCCCCCCAAACATTCAAAGAAGGAGAAAAAAAATAATTACACAACTAGAAGCAATACCCAAAAAGGCTTAAATCTTGTCCCATATACAAATACCGTATTCCAGTAATCTGGGATGATATGGATAAATAAATGAAATGAGTTATTTATGCTCATTGCCTGAAGCTCCTTCAGTTCAACTTTTCCCAGTTTTCTGCCTCTTACATTAAATTGAAGTTACCCTGTTTTGATCTTTAATGGTGCCTTCACATAACTCTAATCAATTCCTAATCCTCATTCTCCCTGAATTACTACCCCTTCCCAACAATCAGCATTGTGTCTCCTCCTGTTCATTTGTATGTGTCATCTTCTGTGTCTTTTCTCTCTCTGCTGGCACCTTCCAACATGTAATCACATCATATGAAAAAAAAACAACCAAATGCCCTAGTCCACGACACAATTATCTAAGGATTCCACAAGGCTGCATTTTCTTCTGGCTCCATGCACTCTCTCAGAAATCTCACCAGTAAATGTCAACTTTGCTTTTATGCTTACACACTATCATCCATTTGCCATTCTGGACTATCTCCCTCCCACCAATCCCAAGTCTCAGCATCTAAATCTCTGGGACTTCTAACAGCCAACTCAAGGTCAGTCCTTACATCCCTCTCCCATCCAGAAGCTCTCCCTTAATTAGCAGGTTTGTTGCTATCCACCCCACAGCCATTTAGATTCCTAACCCAAACAAGACCTAAACTAATTTTTCCCTAAATTTTCCCACCCACAGTTTGGATAAGTCTCATAATTTTGTTCTGCAAAACAACTAATGGCCTCAGGTTGAATTTAACCGTCTTGCATTTTTATTAGTTCAACATAATTCTCTCTGGCCTAGAACACAACAAAACAAACACACCCGCACAGACTTATCCTGAGCACATCTATACAGAATGCTTCTTCCAAAGGACACTTAACTTGCCAGTTGAACAAAGCCACAGAGGAAAGAGGATGTCTAAGTATTTCAGACATTTATCTCTCTGTATTATAGGGGATAAATATTTTTCTCCAGCAGAGAACAGCAAACAATATCTTTTTTAAGAGATTGCTCAATGAAGGAAATATCTCTTCATCCCTTCCCAGGCTGACGAGAGAGGGAAAACAATCTTCAATTTCTGATGCTACATATTCATCAATTCCACTCCAACTAACCAAGCTACCTACTTGGTTTTCCTTTCAGAACATGTTCTAATCCTGCTCTGTCACTGGCTCAACCAAGGTGCTGACTTCCAACTGCTTACTGGTCAGCAGCAGTAGGGTCTACCACATACTGGCTAGGCTTCCAAGGAAGCACCTACTCACTTTTTCCTACACTAGGAAAAGCTTTGTTCAACACTGTGCTTTACCATGACACATACAAAAAAAGTTGACATCAGTTACCCTAAATATGCACCAGAATTACTTACACTGATCAATATGGTCTCATTTCTTTGTACTTGTCCTGGGTTCAGCAGTAGCAGTCATTTTTCTCCTCCTTAGTAGCTGGTGCAGTGCTGTGGTTTTGGCTTTCAGCCTGGGAACAACGCTGATAACCCCGATGTTTTCAGTTGTTGCTCAGTAATGTTTAGTCTGACCAGGACTTTCTGAGTCTCATGCTCTGCCAGGGAGGAGGGGAAACCGGGAGGAAGCAGAGACAGGACACATGTCCCAAACTAGCCAAAGACGTATTCCACACCACAGCACGTCATGCCCAGGATGTAGAACTGGGGGCAGTTACCCAGAAGGGCTAGACTGCTGCTCAGTCCGGGCTGGGTATCAGTCAGCAGGTGGTGAACGGTTGTATTCTCTTCCCTTGTTATTTCCCTTATCATTATTATTATTATTGGTGGTATCAGTATTGGTTTTGTGTTATACCTTAGTTACTGGACTGCTCTTATTTCAACCCATGGGAGTTACATTCTTTCGATTCTCCTCCCCATCCCTCTGGGAGTGGGGGGAGGAAGGGGGGGAGGGAGGTAGCGGCTGCATGGTTCTGGGTTGCCGCCTGGGCTTAAACCACGACAGTACTCCATCAGTTTTCTCACATTACATTTCTAACTGGAGCCAATTCAAACAGATGTATTTGCTTGATCCTACACACAAACAATACTACTAATAAACAAAAAATGTAGACAGCTCTCAAGCAACAAGGCAGCTGCTAGTCAAAAATGTAGGCATTCCCCCCTCCTCCCCATTTCCTGCATTTTTTACAGTTCTAAACAAATAGCAGAAGGCTGTTGTAGCACTCGGGACTGCTTCAGAGACAAATAAGGAGGTTGGTTCTCTGTTACCAACGTAATTTCAGTCACTTTAAATTAAGTCAGTATAAGAACTGTCACTGCATTCCCAGATAAAAATAGACTCCCTAACATACGACAAGATTTCCCCCATCCGGAAGTGGGTCTGTGGCTGGAAGTAGAGACTGAAAATATTATTGTGTTATTAAGTAAGATTTCTTTCAGAAGTAGATATTAATTGAAAGCAGTTAAGGTTGGGGTGGGGGAAGTCTGTTGCAACACTGCAACTTTCACAGCATCTCTCTTCTCCCAGCTACATACCTGGTTGTAAGGACACATTTTATCCATACTTTAACAGCCAAATGGAATGGCGAATTGGATGGGAGGTGAAAACCTAATGGCAGTTACCCTGTATTTTCACAAGCAGTCTCCTTCCTGCTTCAACCCATCACATCAGAAACTATCCTGTATACTTGGAAACCCTAAACTACCATCATGGCTACATAAGCAAATAGCACATTTAATGGTACAAGTAAGACATAACAGGTATGGTTTTAAAGCCAGAGGTTATGAAGGAAGACTAAGATGCGTGCAGTGTGCAGCACTTCCCTGTCCACTGAGGCTACGAAGGAAGTCTATCATAGCAAGTAATGTCCAGTGTTCACTGAAAACTGCTGGGTCCTTTTTAGGCTAGTAGCCTATTATCTGACTACTGGCAGCTAAACCTGCACTGTTAGCTGTAATTCTGAACTGCAGTTGCTTCAGAAACTTCCTTAATTTTCAACAGACTGTATGTAGGATCAATAAATACTGAAAACAGAGTAAATATATTAAGAGTCACTGTACAAGAAATTCCTGGCCTTCTCAATAAGATGAGAACTGCTTCTAGTTTCCAGAGAAACGAACTTCAGTTCCAAGGCCACTAATCCCAACACTCGAGAGTTCCTATAAGCATCATTTCCCAGCTCTAAACCAGAGATAATATACCAAGTCTGTAAAAAAGTTCTATTTAGTAACGCAACTGGATCCAAGTTGTGTATAAAACTGAAGAAAAAAGAAGTCAGCTCACTTCCTGAGCTGAAACTCAACCATTAATTTGTACTATCTGCTGACCAGACCAGAGTATATCTTTCCAATTTACATACAAACAATACTACTAAAATTCTAAATTTTGAGGTATCTTCATTGTTGTAGAACTTCTAAAAGTCTTGTATTCTGTACCGTTGGTGTAACACACATCTTTGTTAACATATCTGTGTTAACCCTCTAGAAAACATTCAAAAGATGGAAACAACTGAACATGGCAGAGCACAAATACTGATTGTACCACCTCTTTAACCTCCACACAGGTATTTTTTCCAGCTCCTAAATTAACTTTTGCATACAGAGGGAGACAGATACAGGAAATACTGAGGTTACAGTATGTGAACAGAATCTGACTCACCACAGTCCTTTGCTTATTGGGCAGGAAGACTCTAACAATAGGCTTCTGTGGAGACTTGGGGTTATTCCGTGACATATCAGCAGGGTTTTGATAAACTGAAAGGGATGAAGGTGCTACAGAGAGGCTAGAGGAGGAAGATGATGCAACTGTGTCTGTTGAAGCTGAACTGGAGACAGAGAAATCAGTTCCATTCCCCATGGATTCCAGTAACTGCTGTTCTCTCTGCTGTAGAGCATCTAGTTTGCTGGTGTACTCTTCATAGGCCTGTGAAGGAAGAGCAGCTGCTTTAATGATGCAGTAGCCTCGGACAAAACCAGAAATGGAAATTCAGAATGAACATGCAACAAAACACATTCTAAACTAATTCAAAGTTCTCAGCAATATGAACAAAATTCTCTGGTGAACTTTTTCAGTAGGATACAAAGAAGAAATGGCTTTGACCTCTTTATGTTTAACCTGCTGAACCAACAAAGCATTATTTAATAGAAATAACAGGTAACTGGATAAAAGCCACCATAAGTCACAGTTTCAAAGCACTGGTACTAAACAGTCTAATCCAAAGCCATTTTAAGGACCACAGCAGCCTTTTACAAATGTTGTCAGCTGCACTGCCAAATTACTGTGCTATAGCTAAATGTATCATTCTGTTGGAATGACAGCTAATACATCTAATGTAGTAATTAAGTGAAAGCTGAAATCTGTATCTGAGCTCACCTAGTTCACTGTTCACCATTATTCACCTCTGGCACTCTCCTTTTCACACCAGGTAGTACAAAATTCTTTCAGTTACAGCACAGCTAAGTTTGCTCTTAATGTATGTTTGCCCTGTTACAAAGTCATCCATAAACATGTAACAGTGATTCTTTGAAAGAATGCAACACCTGTATGAGATTAATTTGATTTTCCACCAAGGTTTAAAAAAACTTGACTGCACACTAAGTTTGTTAAATAAACAAATATCCAGTAATATTAAATTCACCCACTAAGTTTTTATTAAATATCACCAAGCTATTGCCAAGCTCTACACAGCAAATATATAACCGGTATGTATTTTTGTTTAAATGTTGTTTCCACCAACTTTGTCTTTATAACAAGAAAATTTTTATCTGTATGTAACTATCAGAATTATTTCTTCAGCATGACAGTCAGTAGAGAGTATCTTAAAAAGTCTGAGTCAGTTAAGGAATGTGTGTTTCATGCTACATAACTATGTCAGTGTTAACCGAAGACATGTTAGAACTTTACAGACACAAGGAAACAAAGATCTTGCAAACCCAGCATCTAAGCAGTAAGGAACAGGATTTTCTACTTAGCTCTGCAGCACAACCAAGATCTATGCCAAGCTGCTTCATCTATTTTCAATGCCACAAAGGATATTTATGATAGAGAAACATAGTATTTATTTTAATTTGCTTTCCTCAAGTTTTCTGTGCATAACATGTTGTTAAAGTTATAGGCAACCTGAACTGACCAAAAAGTCTAAAGGGTCTGCAAGTGAAAAAAGAAAATTTTATATATATATATATATATATAAAAAATATATAAAAGTTAAGCAGAAAAAAGTAACTAGCAATCAGTAATGCTGCCACAAATACTACATTATACTATAGATTTATTTCTCTGGTTGTACATGCAAGTTCACCTAACCCAGGCTGATTTTGTTGAGTAAACAGTGGTTGGCCCCTGCCTTTTTATGAAGGTTTAGCATCCCCCAGGATGAACCTATGTTCAAAATCTGTGTCATCATCCCCACAGTGTTAACAAAGAGAATGATTATTTGACAGTGAGGACTAAGAAAGAACATTTCAAACAATTGTGATGAACATAATTTCAAATTCTAAATTTTAAGGGTCCATTTTTAATGTATGGAGATTAGCTGCAGGAAACCGAGAACTTCTTAGTGTTTCTATTTAAACTGAGGATGTCTAGCATTTCATGAACAGACTCCAAATTTGGAGGCTTTAAAGCAAACCATATTCACTGTAGCCCAATTCTACGGTCAGAAGTAAATTGAAAGGTTACCCAATTATAAATAATGACATTTTTTGGGTGTACAGTAACATAAATATCTCTCTCCTACTTTCAGGATCAACTTCTCATGCAAATTCCAGTAAAAAGCTCCATGCATCAAGAATTATTTTCAGTAAACAAAAATTAAGAATCATAAACTGTTACCATTTCACCAATGCTTTTCTAAATACTTACTTCCTTTTCTCATGAACATTGCAAAATATTATTTGAACACATGCAACATTACATTGCTTCTGGATACTTGTGGGCTTAGTTCCTTCACGAAATTACACACATCTTTCAAAATACTCAATCCTACAATGTTTACACTGGCAGCTTAATCTGTCACTAATGCAAACTCCAAGTCAAGTGATTTATCTTAAGAGAATAAACAATGAGCATGGAAAGCTGGGAGATGCTGCTGGCTTTGGGTTCTATACCATTAAATTTGGCATGAAAAGCTCTATTTTTTATGGAGACAAAAGCTCTCAAGTATTATACTGTTACTCAAGGTCTTACAAGAAGATCCTGCAACAAAATATAATGGAACCAGAAATGCATCAGTAGGTGTTAAATACATTTTTCTCTTAAAAAAAACCAAACATATATATATATATATATATATACACAGAAGGAGCAACAGCAGAAACAATAAAATCCCATTTTCAAAGATTAACTACTTTGGCGAGACACAGGTTTCAGCTGACGACTAGCACCCACAGACCCTACACAGCCAACAGCACCAAGTCAAATCATAGAACAGTCCCACAGAATTAAACTGAAAGAGTATTACAACAGCAAGTTGTAGTGCCAAGTATTCCTAGCTAAAATAAAGATTATGCTGCAGAGTTGGCTTATCTACAATAGAGCCCTGCAGCACCATGGCCATATCAGCAGACAGGCATCAAGAACTACACAAAGCTTCAAGTCAGTCAAGGTCCTCTGGGTCAACTGTAAGGCAAATTTTCTAAGCTTGTTTTTCAAAAAAAACCAAAAAAAGCTGCTTATTTTTAAGTTTATACAGGATTCACACCATGAAGATGAAGCTGAACATTCTGGACAACCTGTTCCAGGGCTCAAAACCCACTCTCATATTGAAGAATTTTCTCTTATGAAATTCACTTGATGCTCTCTGTGCCACTGCTTCTTCCCCTTTTGCTGTGCATGTCTGAAAAAAGCCTGGCCCTCTCTTTAGATTGCAAAAGCCTGGCAGGTTCCTCCTTAGCCTTCTCTTAGAATCATAGAATAGTTAGGGTTGGAAAGGACCTCAAGATCATCTAGTTCCAACCCCACTGCCGTGGGCAGGGACACTTCACACTAAACCATTTCACCCAAGGCTTCGTCCAACCTGGCCTTGAACACTGCCAGGGATGGAGCATTCACAACCTCCCTGGGCAACCCATTCCAGTGCCTCACCACCCTAACAGGAAAGAATTTCCTCCTTATATCCAATCTAAACTTCCCCTGTTTAAGTTTTAACCCATTATCCCTTGTCCTGTCACTACTTTGTCCTGTCTCTTCTCCATGCTAAACAGCACACCAGTGCAGTCAGTCACACAAGTAGACAGGCCCCTCTTCGTGCCACTTTCCAGCACTGATGAACACCTTGTCCCAGGTGCAACATACTGCATTCCTCTTGATTGTTGTGCTGCTTCTTGTCATGAGGCTTCTGTTCTTCAACTCCTCCAGGGTTTATTAGTTGCCAGAAAAGAACTGTCTTTAACAACACATTATCCTCAGACAGTATTTTTACTGATCGCTAAAGAGCTACCAATTTAGTGTGAATTTCAAAGTTTAACATATATATGAAAAGCTGAATATTAAAATTGGTACATCTAAAATAGAACAAAAAGTTATTTTTAATTATATTGCATATAAGTATATATGCGTATCATATAATATAGTCTCACACATGGAAGAATACTCCTGAGGCTTCAAATGAGCAAAATGTATAAAGGCCTGGTAGGCTGCCAAGTCCATCTAAAGCATTAAAAGTTGGCATCCTTACATACATGCCATAATGCAACTGCTGCTCACTCAGGAGATACAGAGTTAAAGTTACTCCTTAAAGGCTGCAACCTATTGACAAAATAAAAACTGACCTCAGAAGTCAAGAGAATTTACATGATGTTTACAGATGTGCCAGAGCTCTGTCAACAAGATGTTAAAGAGATTTTCTCCAAAATATGCACTTTAAAAAAAAATTAAAAAAAATATCACATATTCTTTATATTATATTTGAAATTTGCTTTCTTGAGCCATAACCAGGCTACACATTCTAGTAATACCATCTATGGAAACAAAAAGCAACAAGTCAAATATTTTGAGTTTTTTTTTTAATTAAGCTGGTACAAAACCAAGTAGCAAAATATGGCTTCTCCTTCTCCCTGTCCCTCTACCACATCTGGTTGGAAACTCAGTCTAAACTCAAATAAAGTGGGTTTACCGTTTTTGCTTCCTTTATTAATTTTAGATATTACCCACACATTGCAAGGCTCTTAAAAGCCTAAACTATAGTTTCCTGGCCTTCTTTGAAACTGAGATTCTGTTTCTATTTAAAAGATGTCTGACCTTTTAGGCTGTTGATCAAATGCAAATCCCACTAAGTTAAATGGGAGCTGAAGATAGACAGTAACGTACGTCAGGATTTCTTCATTTAGTAAGACTGCTAAATCTGTTCTTAGTCTAACTTTAGACACTTCAGTTTTGGTCCAACACACTTGATCAGCATCTGTTAGGAGCCTGGTATAAATTAATCTGAATTTCCCCAGAGGACTGCCACACTTCCCAGTGCCTGCACCCAGACTTGGTATTTTCCTGGAATCCCATAAACAGTCTGAAACAACCTGAGATTCAGCACTAAGATCCATTTCAGACTGTATCTGCCTGCTGTTGCAATAGGCATATTTTAGACCAGCAAAGAGGTAATCTTCTTTAATTAATTAATTTAACCTCCTGCATGGATTCTTCAGATATACAGGAATAAAGAATTAAATACCCTCCTGAAATTCAACAGCCAAACTCTCAAACATGGCAACAGCAAGGCCTCTGAATAAGATACATTTAATAATCCAGGAAACAAAAAAGTTATGAGAAAAAAAAAAAAATCATTACAGTAGTTGAGGACAAACACACCTCTACCGCCACGAGTATCATTTTAAATTGGTTCCAGGAGTAGGAAAGAGGATGATCCCTTCAAGACAGCACCAGAAAGCCGAGTTGTTTTAAAACATACTTTGAAACCACTATCATTC